GATTACACAAGAGGACTGGGTGGGGTGGGAAGGATGCACAAAAACTGAAAGTTTCTGCTCTTCAGAAGTTCTGATCTACTAGGGGAAGGAAACAGGCAGTACTGGGAATGGGTTGGGGTGGGGGGTGCAGGGGTGGGGACTAGGTTCTAATTCTGACTCTGTCATTGGCTGGCCACGTGCTCTTACGGGGTGGGAGTAGTCACCTGTCAAATGAAGAAATCACATGAAGGGGCAACTCTCTGTAAAATGAAGTAACAAAATGTGATCAGCATTTCTCAAAGTAGATTCCAATTAAAAAAAAAAAAAGTCTGGTTGAATAAGTTTGGGAAAACTTCCCTACCCTGGTTGATCCCCAACAGTACCAGATAGATTCTTACTGGATTTAGTGTATCAAAGACTCCTAGAGTCTTGCTGTAAAGGATTTTTTTAAATTTGGCATTTCCCAAACGTATTTTCTGAAAAAAACATCTGTTGACATTTGCAGAACATGCTTTGGAAAACATTGATCTCTATGCTGCTTCCAGCTTTAGAATTCTATCCTTAGTCGTTACTTTTCCGTACAGACTCCATCACTTCCCTTCTCTACTGCTGTGTACTCAGTCTTTAATTGAGTCTTTGTGCTGAACCTCACATGCTGCCTCTCCTCTGGCTTTACTTTTCATGACTTTATGCTATTCAAATGTTCACATGAAACTCAAACAGGGTTGGACCAGATGACCTCTAAAATCTGTACAAACCCTGAAACTTTAGGATTCTTCGGTCATTATCACAAACATCCACTGAAGACCGAAACAGGATGCATATAACTGAGGCTGTTCTCATCACAGCACTGATATCTACTAAGAACTCTGAGGTGAAATTCTAGATCCTGTCATTCTGAACACTGCTCTAAACTCAATACTATATTTCCTTGCAACTTCCTTTCCCCTGGACCAATGCAAAAGGAGAATACACAGGAAGACAGTGTGGGTTGTATGGGCTCTCTAGATCCAGCTAGAGGAAATATAGTTAAGAGTTCAGTGGGGGTGCTTCCTACCAAATCTTCTCTTTGTAGGTACAGCAAAAGTTTTTCACGTAAGTTACTATAAAACATCAAGAAATTATACATATTGCCCATACCTCACCATAAAAATATTTAATGCAGGTGTTTCAAATTCAGTCAGAGGACCATCCAATTCCTGGCAGAGGCTTGAGGTCCAGGAATGACAGCAGAATATGGGTAAGAGACAACTTGAGAATATCCACAGACGTCAACTGGCCAACACTCAGTTTAGTAAAATTCTAGTTCTTTCTCCAGTGTATGATTATTATACCCTCTTTTTAGCTCTGCTTTGACCCAAACTTAGTGTCACACGTTTCTTCTTTAGCTCCGTTTCCATGCCAACAGGATTGTTTAAAAATAAAGACAGGGGCACCTGGCTGGCTCAGTCAGAAGAGCATGCAACTCTTGCTCTCAGCTGTGAGTTCGAGCCCCACATTGGGTATAGAGATTAAACTTAAAAAGACATTAAATACTTTTAAGACATACTCAATTTTCTCAATTGTCCAAATGTAGTAGCTGAGAAGACAGAAATATTAACCAACCTAATTAATCAGAAAGCCATTCAACTATTTTTCCTCTACTGCAGGCCTTACAGCAAAACCTCTAGGTCTGGTCTGCTCCACTTTAAGGGGCTCAGGTGCCATCATTGAAATGAGTGGTGAGCTGTGATACTGCCCTGACGGTTTCTTTCCCCGGCTACTCTGCAGGGGAATGCAAACCTGGCATATGGTGTGTGAAATGCCTTGCAGACTAAGATACCTCAGCCCCGAAAGAGGAAACAACAGAGAGAAAAAGAATGAAGATGAATGTTCACACATCACTGCCTGGAGGCTTCTATAGAACATGTGCAGTGTGAGAATTTTCAAAGGCTGACAGATGCGCTTTAATAGAAAGAGGTAAAAGATAAGATTCATAAGGCTTGCTTCACATTTTATAGAGGGATAGGTCTTGGGAAGCCCAGTATACTTTATAATTATGTTTTAAAATACAGTAATGTTGGATTATAACATAACTACTGCTGAAAATAAAGTGATGAGGGGTGCCTGGGTGACTCAGTCGGTTGGGTGTCTGACTTTCGCTTAGGTCATGATCTCACAGTTGGTGGGTTCGAGCCCTGGGTTGGGCTCTGTGCTGACAGCTCAGAGCCTGGAGCCTGCTTCAGATTCTATGTCTCTTTCTCTCTCTGCCCCTCCCCCACTAGTGCTCTCTCTCAAATAAATGTTAAAAAAAATTTTTTTTTAAAAGAAAATAAAGTTACGAACTAACAAAAAGGCTTTAGCAAAGGTCAATTTCAAAGTAAAAATAAGGTAAGATTTAATCCAAAACATTCTCCCTTATTCTAAGTTTTGGTAATTCTTGGGACCCTAACTGGATTAAAAATAGAACGATATGACCAATACTCTGAAGAATCATCATAGCGTGTACACAAAATAGAGAATAAATTTTTAATGGTATCAAAAACAGAACTTTTTGGCCAATTTAGTACTTGCTGGAATAAAGTTGCAAAATGTTACTCAGTAACGGACTTAGCTTCTAAATCAAGCCGGAATTACACATACTCTGTATATTACTTGAGTATATACAAGTACATTCCATGATAACATGCAGAGACATGGAAACAAGAAGAGTACGATCAAGTCAAGATCACCATCTCTACTCTCTGTTGATGAAATACACTGAAAACAAAACACCTGTTCAGTAATCCAGAATAGCTAATTTTGAAAAGGGGGTTTTAAATGTTGCTCTTTTCAAGAACTCAGATAAACTCCGTGGGGTTAAATTTGATTTTGTTTTCTCAACGTGAAAAAAGAGAAGCAGATAATGTGCTATAGCTACGGGAATATCTTTTTCTTTTTCTTCCATATCAAATTAAAAGGTTTGATAGACTTACTGTCCCCAGGAAAAAGGACTCTTCGCATTCTACTGGTAAGAATGAATCCCTTTTAAAGCTCTCAGACATACGAGTGTCACACCACCTAAAGCAACATATGCTTCAAGTACCTTTAATGAGACGGTCACATGAAACAGGAGTTTAATTTTCCTGAGAACTAAAGTAGACATATGAAATAAAACAGGGTATGAAAGTGACCTGAGTTCATAGGAGTCTCTAAATTCGAAAGAGATTGCTTCAGCTTTGCGAAGATCTCATCAAAATCCTTTTATAGCAAGAGTCACATATTTAGTCACGGGGCTTCGGGGCCTTTTTAAGCACTCAAAAGAAGTGCTTTATGTTGTGCAAATTCCATGAAAGCCCAGGACAAGGGACTGATGGTGCTCAGGAAAACCTACAGGTGAGCCCACAGATTCCACGGCTTTTTGTAAAGAATGGAGTGGGTGAGATGCACAACTGACCAACTTTGCTCCCAGCTTGACAATTATTGGGCAGCTAAGAAAATCCTTGGAAGATAAGCAAAGACAGCACCTTACGTGGAACCTAGGGGAAGCCACTCAAAAGTGAGTTAGTTGGGGTAGAGATGGCTACTGGTCTCTTCTAAGTAACTCCTCCTTTGTATGTGAGAACCACAGAACATATACGACAAGCAGGACAAAATATCGGCTTCACGGTCTTCTTTCCAAATTACGCATTGCAACTTCTGTTATTATTACTGTCGGCAAACTACTAAGAGGTCACGTGGGAATTGTAGTCACTGAATAGCATATAAAAGAATACAGTGCAGCTTCAATCTGAGCTCTTCTATTTGCTCTGTAATCTAATTCAAGGCACTTTAAAATGTTTTGGTGCCTTAGCGTATTAACACGCAACAGGAGGAAAACACTCATTTACTTACCTCAAGGAGTACTACAGAGATGACTGAATCTTAAAGCACTTTGAGCTCCTCAGATGAAAAGCACTGTGGAGACAATCACAGCGGAAGAATACTCTTCCAGTGCCTCGGGATCCTGATTTATTGTGTCTTGTGTCTCAACCATGTTTTCTCGAACACTTCACAAGTAAAATCTGTGAGTGGCACTCCATCCCTTTATATATGTTAATTGTTTGGCACACAGATGTTTATATATTGAAAATAGTTGTAGTATTCACCACTCCAAAGTTGTTTACTAATTTTCCCATAAGGTTAATGAAATGTAGCCATGATGAAGTACTTTGTGTCAAATTTAGAAAACTTTAGCTTTCTTCTGAGGTACATGTGACATAACGAAAAGTTCATTTTGTTTTCAAAATAACTGAACTAGTGTTATTTATGTGAAACCACAAGTTTTTAATGACAAAAATACTGAAAGTATGCCACAGTGTCTATATATTCATCTGAAGAGTACAAAGATGGAGTTTTGAGGAAAAAAGGGTCTTAACACTATAGAAAAGAAATGTGGTTCTTAAATTGTTCAAAGGAAACATTTTAAAAATGTAATGCTTCGTGTATTGAAATAAAGCAGTTAGAGGTAATAAATTATAAATACAGTAGTTCAAATATTGTTTCTTTTTTTAGCATTAGTTTTTGTAAGCAAGTTAAATTCAAAAACACCTTAAACTCTGTTATCCTCTTCTGTCAAAGGACCTGTGGAAATAGAAGCTTTTGCAGAAATCGACAACAGTAATAACACCTTGTGGTCTTTATGTAGACTACACTGGATCTTGACCATTTTAGAGTTACAACATATTTTGGTTAATACATTAGATTCAACTCATTAATATGCCTTTATATTTGGGGGAAATTAGATTGTGATTTATAACGTAGTTCACCCAAACTCAATTCCAGGTCTTGCTTGATTCTCTGCAGGAGGCTCTGTCAGACTCATAATTAAAATGATGAAAAGTGTAAATAACTTCTTTCAGACTGAAAAAATATTTGTTTTTTAAATAAAGTGCTTTAAATTCAAATATTTCTTGCCCTAAACAAAACCGAAACACACTTAAACCTGAAATCTCCATCATATCTTGACACACATATTTTAACAGGAAGAAATCAGTTTGGGGCCATTAGTGTCCTTCAAGAGTTCAGATTGGATCTAAATTGGGTTTTGCATTATTATCGTGCTCATGTTTGTACATGAAGGTTAAAAGAAAGAGGGCAACATCCAAGGATGACCAATAGGCGGTATGAGATGTGACAGCTGACCAATAGCGGCTTTCCACAAGGCCTTCTCGGAGTTCAAAATCAATTCTGTGATCCAATTCCACTGAAAGGAAAAGAAAGTCAAACAAGTGAATAAGTATTACAATATGTTCTATATAGACTTTACCTAGAGTTGAGAATAAAAATTTAGCTAATAGAAATGATTCTTTTATCCTTTTTTCCCCCCTCTTTAAAGTGACTTTCCACTCTAATCTCATGGAAAACAAACAAACACCCAAGACAGACTCAATAGCTCAGGATTCTATTTGGGAGAGTCCTTTCCTTTGTATGCTTAGGTCAGTATGGGATAATAAAGGAATAAAACAAACAAATCACTTGGTATCATAGAATATGTTTGGAGTAAAGAAACTGGCCTCAAATCCTAACTTTCCCATTTAATCTTTGTTCCTAATCTGTAAAATAAGAAAAACAGCCCTCTGGCAGAAGTGTGGGCCAGGCTTATGTGCAATAATGTCTGGGAGTGCATGCAGCAGGTCACTCAAACGCCCTCTCCATCACCTCATTCTGTGGTTACTTTTTGTAGTCCTAGACTGCTTTCCTCCCCATGTGGCCGCCATGGCACAGCCTGGTCCCCATGCAGTCAGCAGGGCCTCACATGTGCCTGAGACATACAAGTCCTCACTAAATGTCTGTTTGATAAAGAATCCACTGGGTGGCTGGGACAGTTAAACCAGGAGGAACAGTGGTGGTCCCTGGGAGGAAGGACTTCATTTATAACAGCGCTGTGCTCAAACAATTCAGTGAATTTAATCAAGTCTTTTTCTAAAAGCCACAGAAAGTCCTTGCAATACCTGTTGGAGAAAAATCAAGGCTATAAGAGAATTGCAAAGGATCCATTTAATAAGTCCTTAGAGATAAAACACTTAGAAAAATAATACTTTGATCTCTAGGAATTCCTTTAAAAGAGTCAATGAGCTGTATAAGACTTTGAAGGAGCTATCTTAAAAACAAAGAACACCCAAATCTTTGTTCCAAGTGCCAGAAGATGTAGCAAGTGGCAAAAATCAACGAGGCTGGAGAAAAAGTTGGGTTTTGTTTTACACTGGGAATTTGGTTAGTTGCACATGGGAAATCGTATCACTCTAGAGAATGATTTCATATAAATGTTTAGCTAATGCTTATTTTAAATAGGTATTTTGTGACAATATCTTTTAGTGATTTAAAAGGGCATAGAGTTTTTACTTTTCTATTCAACTATGCTTTTCTGACAAGGAATGCCCATTGATCTATCTGTATATTTTAAGGTTACCCTTAAGCAGCATAAATACCAATTAGGTTATAAAACACTTGTAAAATATATTTACAAATTTTTTAAAACTTTTTTTCTCACTTAAATTACAATAAGCTAATCCGTAATACAGCAGAAATAGCTGAAATCTATATGGGGAACTGGGGGGTAGTAATGTCTGAATCTTTTATCTCTTGTACTCCATAGGACATTTGAGTTCGATTTGTCGGCACATTCTGGCACAAGATACAGGAAGATGAAAAACGAGGAGACTGGAATTCTCAAGCGTGAAGAAAAGAAGTCAAGCTGGAGGTAGTTACAAAGAAAAGAGGAGAAATAAAATGAAAAACAGAAGAGATGAGAAACCTACACATTAATATCGGCAAAGACCACGAAGTTATCATTTCTACTTTAAAATGCCACTGTAGAACAGCCTTTCCTAGTCCAACAGCCTTAAGTTAAACTTTTGTTTTAAAGTTAAAAAAAAACGGATTTGTGTTTTGTTATAACAACTATTATTTGGCTTTGATTTTATGTCCCTGAGATTTATCCTTAAATGTGGTTACTGTTGTGAAACACTGCCTTTCATATACTAGACACTCAAATGCTGAACTTAATTATTGCCCTACTCTATGCCCTTGTCATTCTTACCACCTACAGTCAGTATGGTTAACTAGACTTGCCATCTCTCACCCTGGTTATTTATGTGTAGGCTATCCTCATCAAAACGGGAATTAGGTAGCCAGCCTGTACCCGATGAATCTGTTTTAGTCTCTCATCCTCCTTCCAAGGTTTACAACAGGTAGTATGGCTGCCAGTGCAGGTGACCTCACAGGTGTTGGTTCTGCAGGCAGATGGATGGAATAAGGTGGGCCTTCGTCTCACGTCTCTTCCTTTTATGTAGGTCACAGAATTCCCAAGGGAGCAAGGGTCTAGATGGCAGTTACCATTCTTTATGTGCCGTGAGATGAGTTCTTGGCCCAAATAGGCCTAAATCTATACGGAGTTGCCTTGGACCTATTTTCTTAATATTAGCACATCAAAAATGAGTGGCACAACACAGCGGGTAGTTTTTTCCTAGTTTTACTCACTGAATTAGGTCAAAGAGAAAGGAAAACATAATATCATCACTCTGTCCCTTTTTTCTCTCTTATGAGTGCCTTAAATGCTAGAATTCCTCTATCCACAAAGAAAGGAACGAGATCCTGAACTGAAGAGAAGTGAAACTGAGAAAAAATACTGTGGGATCTTATCAATCATCAGCAGTTGCCTTATACTGCCTTAAAGCATGGGTTATTTTCTTTTCTGGGGAGTCTGGCACAGAGGCCTAGTTCCCTTCCTATTCCCCAGAGTGAATGTCTGCAGTGTATGAAGTATGTAGGAGGTGAAGTGTCATCAGGACTGTGCTTTCATCAGAGAACTCTCTGCACAAGGCTTGTCCACATGGATACTGTATTAGAAAACATAACACATGTGAATAGGAAGTGCACATCTTAGTCTTAAAATGTGTACTAATTGGACAGGTTTCTATTGCTTAATGGAAACACTTTAACTTCCTTGGAGAGAAATTTTCAAAAACATAATGAATCTTAAAAGTGGTCTTATTTGTAAGTATTAATTTTGGTCATAATTGCATGATTTTTGGCTACAGGCAGACACCAAGAAAAATACCAGTAAAGCAAATTGTGTTTTCAAATGACTAGCAAAAGCTTCTTTCATAGTAAAAAAGATTATGCTGAGTTCTTGCTGGGTAAATTATGTCTTGTTATTTCTGTGTTGCCTCAGAGCAACTATACATTTCATGTGGTTAGGTGTTTGACATCAAGGAATATTTACATTTTGTGAACTGTTATAATTTCAAATATATTTGAGGATATTCTCTATCCTTGATATTATAATCAGTTTTCATATCTGCCAAAATAATTTCCCAACACTAATCTGTCCTGAAAGATATTCAAATACCTAATGTTTGATAACAGATGGGCTTTGTAGGTAAATCTTGAATGCAAAAAAACTCCAGGAGATGGCCCTCTACAGTCTGGTTTAAGAAACTTTTCCAATCACATTCAGAACTATTCCCTTCTATTCATCCTTGGCTCTTCTCAAGAAAACTAACTACATACATACATACCTCTACATACCCTGTGCTTTTCCGTATGCTGTTTCTTCTCCCTGCAATGTCTTTTCATCACCGTGTGTCCAAATTCTACCTCCACAGAGCCTTTTATAATTTTTCGAGGTGAAAGCATTTTCTCATTCCCTAGAACTGACGGAGTCCTTTACCAGTACCTTTGTTACGTGGCTCATCACATCTACCATATGTTATAAATATTTATGTAGCAATCTACTTCTCTACTAGGTAAATATATATTCTCTAGAAAATGCTCAATTTCCACACTAGCATTTAGTATCTTTATGGGCAGTACTGAAGTCTGTTTCATTTTGGTATCTTTTCTAGTGGCTATCTTGGTACTTTGGCTCATGGTAAACATTTAATAAATCATTGTTAAATGCAAAAAAGCAGGGGAAAAGAAATAGAAGCCATACACATATTGCCATTTGAATCAGTTTGGTGTAGTTAATGTTTAGATAGCTGGGATGGTTTTAAGATAATACGTATAAGGGCTACCTGAACGCAGGATAAATGAGTGGATTAACTTCTGTGTTGAATTAAATATGCAAAAACCAAAGTCAAATAATTTCTTCATGGATGTGACTAACTATTACATGAGCAGGGGGCAGAGAGAGCACTTATATAAGATCATTCCTTAAGGGAAATTCATGAAGTTTCATCAAAACAAACTGTTGCTAGGGAGCATAAAAACACAAACCAGTTTGTTATATTAAAATACTGTTTTGGAATTTTTATCAAGGAAGTTTTTTTGAAAACAGAAGAAATATGTATGGAAATTAGCAATTACATAGAGAAGTTGTAAAATTAAATGTGGTTAAAAATCCAAGGAAAAACCTGTAACATTTTTTGTTAAAGACAAAATCCAATATTAAAAAAAAAAAAAAAAAAAAGGAAAAGGAAAAGGAGAGGAGCTGTGGAAAAAGGAATGAAAGTTAATGATAAAAATGATTTTAAACTAAGATTAATCCTTAGTGGTACATTTAGAATCTGCTAAGAATTAAGAGACTGAAAATATCTCTTGTATCCAATAATGCTAATTTTTAAATGCAAACCTACCCTTCTTAAAGAAAAAATATTTGTGTTGAAACCAGATAGCAGCAGCTAGGGCACACGCACAGCCCTAAGTAGTAGCGGTACTGATACCTGAAATACCTAGGAATAATTACATTTCTTACACTATGAGACTTTATATCTAAATGTCTTACATGTAAAGAACAGTGAACCTCTTTGCAGCCTTTGGGACAATAAAGGAGGAAGATGACCTCATGCTTTTCTTCCCTCTCCAAAAGGTTGCTTCTTTGTAGGAATGTATAGGAGTATCATTTTAGCACACTAAGGGACTAATCAATACTTGGGTTTCAGGACCCCTACTATTTAAGGTTAGAATATACAGGAAAAAATTACATATCAAATGGTCTGTAATGGTTAACATTCAAGCTGATCTCATAGAAGAACTGATGCAAGTTTTCAGTGAGCAGAAGACCTATAAGTGGATCATTTTTATTGTACTCTGAGTGCTATTCCTGACATATACCATACCGAGGGTATTATCTTTATTCTGCATTACATTTTCCGGAAAAAGAAGTTGTGGGAGATTAAAGAACGATTCCTGAAGTCTGAAATCTGTGAAAAAAAAACACAAGATGCTGTAAAGTGTTGGCTGATGGTTACAAAGGGCCTTCAATGATGCAGTGGCCAAAAGTTAGAACAACACTCCCAAATATGCTGATTAAACCTAGCATACATAAAGAAGTACACACTTAGGTTTTTATGAAGAGCTCTTTCATGGAAAATGTAAGCATCGTTAACTTTGCAATACAATGTCATAATCTGTTAACACCCAGATATCCCCAAAATTAATAGCTCATTTAAGTTCTAACCTTGAGGCAAAACAATGTTAAAAGAAACAGATATTTTCTTTCCGTAATATGATACAAACATAAGGGAGTACAAGAAATGAAGCCATAAAACTACCGTAAACAAGCCCGGACTTTTCAAAAGAAATGAAGACTAGCTATTGATATTCAACTTGATGAGAATAAAGTGGTTTCAATTGACAACACATACTCTTCAAAGAGAGAAACCCTGATGGATCATGAAAATTCAAAGCCTGTGTCCATCTTACCCTCAAAAAGCAAGAGAATCAAAGTTGCCAGCTTCAGAATAAAGGTCATCAGGAACTGAGGCAATCAATGCAAGCAGAACGAAGAAAGGAAGGAAGCCAGAATCACCTAATCACAATGACCAAATCCCAGAAAGAAGGCTTAAGGAAGAAAGGTTTTAGGATTTGCAAGATACAGCCACTATGTGAATAGAGCAACTATGACATAAAAAAAACATCCAAATCAGGATTACAAAGAAGAGTGTATTATTGAAGCAAGTCTAACAATTAGTAAGGCAAATCTTGAGAATCTGATTTTAAAAGGTGGAATTCTACTATAATAGTTTAATTGTAATAGTTACATCTATGTCTAGAGATAAATATCTGTAACTAAGACTCATGATTAGCTCATATTTAGTGGAGTGTATAGTCTACAAGGACTTTACCATTAAGACCAACAAAGAAAGAATTTATATGCAAGACTGACAGAAAATGTATTTTGTTAAGCTATCAAAGTATAATGATGCAATGCAGCTGAGCACCTCTATTAATTGTTGTCCTGAAAGAAGAAACAGGTTTCTCTGTTATCATTTTGAAATTACTATGTTAAATAGTAAAAAGACCACAGAAACAGCTTTCTTCCTTCAGATCCTATGGATTCTCTCTTTGTCTTCATTACCCTTTCTTGGGGGCTCAAATCCCACTTCATTCTTGTTCCCTCAGTCACCCTAATATTTATTTACTAGCATCATTGCTGTGTATTAACATTACAAGGAATTGTGACTTTTTACCTGTCATCTTACAAAATTCTTTTAAACTATTTTTCTTCAGAAACTTTAGAGCTGTGATCTCTGTATGTCACAACAGTTTTCTTTTTTAAAGCCGCATTTCTGAATAAGTAGAAGTGAAAGCTTAAGTCAGCAATAATAAGAAAACGAAAAAAATGAATTTTATACAAATATCAAAGTCTGAAATGAATTTTCTAGGCAGTGTTCAAAAGGCTTACAATTATAAAATTTTTAGTAATCAGAGTCTCACATAAATAGGAGTAAGTTAAAAAATGCTATTGGTCTGAATAGAAATGTCCAACTCAGGAATGTCTGGGATAATGGCTCCTGGAGTAGGGCTGTGGAGAAAGATCCAGCCTCTAGAACCACCACACTTGAACTTCCTTTTTAAGTATGTTTGATGGATGGCAATGGACACTGGTCATTTTAAAATACAGAGTAGCAGACACAGCAAGAAGACAAGGCTACAAGTATCTGAAATAAAATCTGTTTAAACATTTATAGAGAAAGAAAGGAAAAGTTTTCCCTGATTGCTATAGTAACAAAAAGCAGCTAGTCTGAGAATCTACATTTCTTTATATAAGTCAATGGAAAAATAGGACTTATTAGTCTTCTTTTATGGACACTTGAAAATAAGGCTCAAATTTAGACCCTTGGGATTAAATATATATTAAATGTATAAGAGTTTCACAACTATGCAAGATTTTAAACCTTAGAAGTCTACTGGAAAGAATTAAATAGAGCTCCATTCTAATGCTAAGTCCAGCATAACTATCCATTCACTTATTCATTTCTTGAATATCTACTTTACACTAGGTAGCTGGGATATAACTGGAAACCACACAGCGGATCCAATACAATATAAGCTTGAAGGCCTTTGTAATTTGGTTGGATGAATGAAACTCTGGAATTAGCAGCAGGATGGCTTTTAAAAAGTATCAAGAATATACACAGCAGAGGTTTAAAGCAATTACATGAATTTTTAAGGCTGAGAAGACCGTATTTTTTTAAAAATCTACTTTCTAAAAATCAGGGTGCTTTCTCCCAAAGAGATTTGTTTTATGCTCGGTGTTTAAGACCCTTGTGCCACCAGGCCCTGATTATTAATGTTCTTAATTCTTCATTCACCAATGCAGAGAGCAAAACTGCATTTACCTGGGAATTATACTTAAAAATATAATCAGGGGCATCTGGGTGGCTCAGTCGGTTAAGTATCCAACTCCTGATTTCAGCTCAGGTCATGATCTCACAGTTGTGAGATTGAGCCCTGTGCCAGGCTCCATGTGAAGTGTGGAGTCTGCTTTGGATACTCTCTGTCTCTCTGCCCTTGCCCTGTTTGCATGCTCTCTCTCTCTCTCAAAAAATAAATAAAAAATATAATCAGAGGAAAAGTACTTTTTTTAAAAAAAAGCTAACTTATGCTTTACATTTTAGAGTTGACTGCTACCGTTAGTATCTTCATCCTTCCCGCCTTCGAGTTGTAAGAGATAGAGTATTAACTTAAAGTAAGAAAAATATGAACTAACATGCAGAATCCAGAAAGCCAGAGCTGCTATGTGGAAGGGTCTGTGTTGCAACAGTGGTAGTGGGAAGCGAGCCAAGTGACTTCTTCTCGTCTTCTATTGAGTCTTTTGATGTCTCAGATGGCTGTGATGTAGATGAGCGTCCAAATCTCGAGAACAACATCCCTCCAAGGCCCTTTCCAATGCTAGCAGCCCCTATATTTCGCAAAACAGGGCAGTCAGTCTGTTGGAATCACACCACATACCAAGCTAAAGAGCACCATCCATAGTTACAGCCAATTGGCAGAGGTTCCAAGTCCTAGTCATATTTTTCCAGGGTGGGAACATAGGAAAGTTACAATTTACACTGTAGGTTTCTAAGTAAAAATGGTGTTGAATAGAATGAGAGTTGTACAAACTGCAGGAATACAGTGTACAAAAGAATAATGATTCTATTTTATTCAAGTGATCACTGTTGATTACAATATTTGGGAAGATTAAAAACGTTAATGAAAGAATCATACCATTGACAGGGGCATATATTTACTATTGATATGCTTTACTACTGAAGTTAAGTGAGTATGTTATAAAAAGCTATCAATAAACAAATCTGGGAGTATGACAAAGTGAAATCTCAATGAAAAGCCTATTTATAGTGCCATCTTGTGGCACTTTATATTAAGGCAACTTGTAACTAAAAAAACGGACAAATTCAAGAGGCACATAAACCAGCGCTACCTCAAACATTGTGGCTGGTGCTGGAGATGATTCAAAGAAATTAAATATCCTTGTTGACCCCAGGACAGACACGGTTTGAGAGACTGTTAAGACATGAATTGCAGAACTGGTTGGCAGGGACACCCTTAGAACTCAAGCACTCCCTCATTTTACAGATGAGGAAGCAGACCATTAAAAATGATGGGACTTCCCCAAGATCTCATAGTAGGTGGTAGGGCCAAGATTAAAATGAGGGCCTTGTGCTCGCTTCGGCAGCACATATACTAAAATGAGGGCCTTGATTCCCAGACCTTTCCTTGTCTATCCAGCTATCTCATATTCTAAATGTACAAGATCTGATCTAGTTAGAGAACCTTTGGGGATTTTAGCTCTCAAGTATGAACAGTGAGAGGGTAGTTAATTCTAGACATGGGGATTAAATGTTGGATGTTTTGTAATATGCAGAGTATTTTCAAGTACCTCAAATTTAATGCCTATCTAAAAAAGTACTACATTTACTGATAAGAAATACTTAAGAGAAATTACCTAATATGCTTGCTTTGCCTATGTTTGTTATAGATTCCCCGTAGTGTCGACGGGACAAGACTGGTGAGGTCACAGGGCTTGGTATTGTTGAAATGCCTTCATTCTCTGAAATTGAGGTAGGTTCTTTTGCTGGGTGGAGAAAGCTTGGCTTCATATGCTCATAAGGTAGAGGATTAGAAGTATTATACCAGTGGATCTGGACAGGTGAAATGTTGCTGTAGTGTTTCAGTATTAATGGTTCTAATCTATAAGCCTTGATTTTAAAAAAAATGCAAAGAAACACAACATTAAGGCACAATGCTTGGATTTTAGTAAACTGTTTATTCTTATTCTATTGCATGCTCAATAGACCTCAGGGAATTAAAAAAAACACCTGGTATTTCTAACATGCATTCCCATTTGTTCACTATTAATAATATGTAATTTGGTCTAATTATATATCCTTAATGATGAGATTATGGAAAAAACCAATTAGTGTTGGTCTAAGCTAACAGTGCCCATTAATTTGTTTTTCAGAAAAACAGATTCATTTTTATTAGGTTCTGATATCATATAACAATTAGATTTATGTTAGTCTCACCAACAAAGCTGAAGCAATAAACAGTAAACTAGGACACAGTAAATAAAGCCAATCTGTAACATCTTAGAAGCTCTTTGTAAACTCTATTTTCAAATAGATTAACATAGTAACAGCACAAATTAGATGCTGATTAAAGACCATTTGTCTAATGTGAAGAAGGGATGATATAGCAGAAAAGACAATGAATGGACTTGGCATTAGAATTCCCCTAGTTCACATTCTGGCCTCTGTCACTAACTGAATAATACCTACCAAGTCACAAGGTTTCAGAGTCACTGTTTCCTGAGCTGTAGAAATCAGATTAACACTTCCTACCTCACAAGGATGTTGGCAAGAACAGACAACATTTGTAAATATTGCTTAGCACAGTTCTGACATAAACTTTATTTAAAAAAACTTTACTTAAAAAAATCACAGGAAAAACTATAAAATGAATAATAAAAAATAACTTAATAAAATGACATTGGAGCCCTCCTTTATGATATAACAAAACTTTAAGATTATACCAAGGACAGGGTATACACTGATAACTCAGAGTTCCCCTACAAACTCAAGTTCACTTTCAAGTTACAAGATAATGAGTAAAATGAATATATATTAATGAAATACTAAATGGTTAGCTGGGTGTTTTTACATATATTTTACTTAATCCTAACCATTTTAGGAGGTAAAATTTTGTCATCTGCATTACATAGATAAGTCTTGGGAGTGACTTGGCCAAGATTGTGCCGTCTGTATTTGAATCTAATACTAGATTCTCAGTGAAATTCATTTCTTAAAGATAGCATTTTGGATTCTTTAACACATAGGGAATTGTTAAAATTTTAATATTTAATCAATGCTATACTTACTTGGTACTAGCTAAAGATACTTGAAAAGACTTCACACAATTACACAAAGCAAACTTTCTGAGAATGAAGGTTATTTAAAATAGTTTCTTTTAAATTTAGTTCTATCTAGCCTTGTCCCCCAAAAGATTTAAGAAGCGTTTTTCTCATCTAAAAATCTTACTTGGTAGTATACAATTTACCCGGATGCAAGATCACTGGAGTGATTAAAAACATTAAACACTAAACATTAAAAAATTATTAACAGTATAAACATAAAAGAGAATGAAAAACCCCAGATTTAAAATTCGACCAGGCTAAAATAAATTCTTCCACTTTTTCATGTTTAATACATTTCAAATAGGGTCTACCAAACACATTTCAATATGGTAGCATGTTTTAAAGAAAAAAAAATTAAAATGGAATTTTCAAAATTTGTGGTTGCTGGGTTATTGGTATTACAATTGGTTGTGGTTAGACAGTCCAGAAGATTCCTATTCCTTGTACTATTTGTCCAGAGATAACAGTTTTACATTATGCTCTTATAACATAGATCACCTCTGAGGTATTTCCGAGCCCTAAATTAACCAAAACACCAATGTCTTAAAGATATGAACCTATGAAAATATAATCAGATAAATCAACTCATTTCTCATTAGTTCAGTTGTACCTTGCAATATTTCATATAGAGTCTTTTATGAATAATTTAATGTTGAGGGAAAAATGTCTATAACTGCAACTCACCACTGGATCTGTTGGATGAAAAATATTCAGTAACCGATTACAAATCTCTCTGGGCAAAATATGGTCTTGACTTCCAGTGTTTCCTGGGCGGATGCCACGCAATGCCAAGAAAACCGCTAATGGGGATCCCATGCAGAAGAAATTCTCAACCTAAAATGATAAAGTCATCCCAAATTTTAAAACTGGTGGTAGTTTTTCTCAGCAGAATTTGGGCACAACATAACACATGGCAAAATATGAACAATAAAATTATCTTCAAATATGTCTTTTTTCACAAGCTTTGTTCAGATGGTATCTGCCATAATTATATGCCAACCATTAATTAGTCTAAAAAAATCCATTTTTAGAAGCAACTTCATTATCTTTAAATCTAACAGAAAACAAAAAATGAGAAGAAGAAAAGGAGAAGGAAGACCATTTCATTGTGTGTTTTCACACACTAGTCCAAGTTTTATCAAGCTACTATTTTGTGTGAAGTAATATTCTAATGCTATCAACGTTTTAATAAAGACCAATAAGGCAGAGGAATCCTGTGGGGGAGGCATAATAAAATAAATGAATAGGGGGAAAGCCTGCTGTAAGAGAGGGATAATTAATTCCACCTCAGAGTTTTTACAGGAGGAAGCATTTTTTTCCACATTGTTAAGTTTTTTTTTTAATTCCAGTATAATTAACATACATTGTTATATTAGTTTCACGTGTAAAATATAATGACTCAACAATTCTATACATTACTCAAAGCTCATCACAGTAAGTGTCCTCTTAATTCCCTTTACCGATTTCATCCACGTTCCACCCACCTCCCCTCTGGTAACCATCAGTTTGTTCTCTATGGTTAAGAGTCTGTTTTTTGGTTTGTCTTGTTTTTTTCTTTGTTCCTTTGTTTTGTTTCTTAAATTCTACATGAATGAAATCATATGGTACTTGTGTTCCTCTGGCTGACTTATTTCACTTAGCATTGTACCCACTAGATCTATCCATGTTGCTGCAAATAGCAAGATTTCATTCTTGTTTTTATGGCTGAGTAATATTCCACATCTTCATCCGTTCATCTATCAATGGACACTTAAGTTTCTTCCCTAATTTGGTTATTGTACATAATGCTGCAATAAACACAGGGGTGCATTTATCTTTTTGAATTAGTGTTTTCGAATTCATTGGGTAAATACTCATTAATGGAATTACTGGATCATATGGTAATTCTATTTTTAATTTTTTGAGGAACCTCCATACTGTTTTCCACAGTGGCTGCACCAGTTTTCATTTCCACCCACAGTGCACAAGTATTCCTTTTTCTCCACATCCTCTCCAATACTTGCTGTTTTTTGTGTTTTTGATTTCAGCCATTCTGACAGATGTGAGGTGATACCTCACTGTGGTTTTGATTTGCATTTCCTTTATGCAAAGGATATGATATTGGGCATCTTTTCATGTGTCTGTTGGCCATCTGGATGTCTTCTTTGGAGAAAAGTCTGTTTGTCTTCTGATACACAGGAGAAAGCATTTGCATTGGCCACAGAAAACAAAAAGGATTTCTACACCTGGGGCTGGTCACTGGGGCCAGAAAGGAGGACATTTTAGGCTGATACAATCACATGAACTAAAGCAGAGGCAGGAGAGAACCTGGCTCAATTTAGGAAGAATAAGTAGTCTGACATAGTTGAAAAATTGGGTGTCAGGAAAATGTAACTTGGAATGAGAATGCACAGAATCTTGACTACTTGGTTAAAAAAGTAGGACTTAATCGATTTTATGAGTAGTGAAGGAGAACAGGATTTGACCCATGTTTTAGGAGGTTAGTAAACCTGGTAGTAGTATGTGGATGAACTGGAAAATTTAGAGTCTGGTGACTCAGAGACAAGTTAGGAAACTACTGAAAGTGTTTAGGCAAGAGACAATCTGAACCTGGGCAGGGCGAGATGTTCCATTCAGAAATAGAAATGGGAGAGGAGAAGGTGGAATCAATATGACTGAATGAAGATGAGGATGAGGAATGAGTCAGAGGCAAGTCACAAGGTTTGGGTCTGGCTGACTGGGAAGACAGTGGTTCCATCAACTGCAACAGGAAACTCTAGGTAAGTTCTGTTTTTGTTCACAATTAAGTTTGAAGTATCTGTAACGTATCTAATTTACAGGGGCTGAAATTCTAAGGCAAGAGATACAGAATTGGATACGTCATCTCCCAACTCTATGTATCACCATTACAGAAGTGACACGTAAAACCAAGAGAAGTGGTAAGATGGCTTATGAAGTGCATAGATATGCATAGTGCATATCTCTCAAAATAAACAAACATTTACAAGTAAAAAGGAGGAGTGCCTGGGTGGCTCAGTCAGTTGGGCATCCGACTTCGGCTCAAGTCATGATCTCATGGCTGGTGAGTTTGAGCCCCGCATTGGGCTCTGTGCTGAAAACTCCGGAGCCTGGAGCCTGTTTTGGATTCTGTGTCTCCCTCTCTCTCCGTCCCTCCCCAACTCACGCTCTCTCTCTCTACTTCAAAAATAAATAAACATTACAAAAAATTAAAACAAAAAAGAAAAAAGGAGAAGGGCTTTAGTGAGAACTACATTTGATTAGCAGAGGAAGGAGGTAAGACTACAAAAGGGGAGGGAAAGGAGAACCACGATAATGCATGCAGTATACATGAAAGGCACGCGAGAGGGCTTCTAGAAAACTGGTGTGGTCAGCAGCACTGGATTATATATAGAACATGACACTTTACCTCTTAAGGTTGCCTAACTTCTCTCATATGTCCCATTATCCTGATGGGTGAGACGTCCCAAATTCATCATTCCATCTCATCTCCAACATCTAAGAAGTTATTGCACTTCACCTCATGGTCTTTCATCTGGACTATAACTATATATACTTGTCTCTGCCTCCAGTTTTACGTCCCTTTAATCTCTTCCCCACACTACATCTGAAGCGACTCTTCTTTTTTCCCCCCCAATAACGAATATATATTTTGAAAATGGTACCTCCATGTTAAAGAAGGTTTGAGAAAGTTTTTGTTTGCTTTTAAAGGACTGGGTAACTTCGACATGTCTGAAGGCTGAGGAAAATTAACTTGTGTTAAATTAAAACTATAAGAAAAAGCATTTGAAATGGTAGATAGTAACTGGGCTGTCTGGGTGGCTCAGTCAGTTGAGTGTCCAACTCTTGATTTTGGCTTAGGTCCTGAGCCCTGGGTTCGTGGGTCTGAGCCCTGCATTGGGCTCTGGCTCTACACTGACACCATAGAGCCTGCTCGGGATTCTCTTTCTCTCTCTCTCTCTCTCTCTGCGCCCTCCCCCCCCTTGCTTTTGCATGCTCTCTCTTTCTCAAATAAACATAAAAAAAAGAAAACAAAAAACATCATAGACAGTGACACAGATGAAAACACCAACTTCTGAAAGGATTAAGATAATTAAAATAATAAAGGATAGGGAAAGATACAAAATATAGTTGAGATAGAAGAAAATTTAAGTAAATACTTTTTTTTATGTTTATCTTAGAGAGAGCAAGAGAGCATGCATGCACATGTGCATGCATGAGTGGGGGAGGGGCAGAGAGAGAGGGAGACAGAGAATCCCAAGCAGGCTCCATGCTCTCAGCACAAAACCCAGCAAGGGGCCAGAATGCAACAAACCATGAGATCATGACCTGAGCCAAACTCCTATGCTCAACCAATGGAGCCACCCAGGTGCCCCAATCCTTTCTTTTTTTTTTTTTTTTTTTAAATACACTTTAAAGTTTATTTTTGAGAGAGAGGGAGAAAGAACGCAAGTGAGCAGGGGAGAGGCAGAGACAGAGGAGCAAGACAATCCCAAGCAGGCTCTATACTCACTACAGAGCTCAATGTGGGCTCAAACCCACGAACCTTGAGACCATGACTTGAGCTGAAATCAAGAGTTAGTTGCTTAACTTAATGAACCACCCAGGCACCCCTATGTAAATCCTTTCTGCTTGATGTATACATACCTGTAAATACATGTACATCCTAGAAAAATGCTTTATGCTTTGGTCAGGCATTTCATAAATTTTTGTTAAATTGTTATAAAACAACCTTTCTTTCTTTATGATTGGTATGCAGTTTGACAGACAAACACACAAAGGAATTCTTCTGTTTTTAAAATGTTTATTTACTTTGATAGAGAGAAAAACAGAGCACGAGTAGGGAGACACAGATTCTGAAGCAGGCTCCAGACTCGGAGCTGTCAGCACAGAGCCCAATGTGGGGCTTGATCTCATAAACCCGAGATCATGACCTGAGCTGAAGTCAGATGCTTAATTGACTGAGCCACCCAGGCACCCCACAAAGGAATTATTCTAAGAGTAATGACTGATTTAGTGAAATCTACACCCATCAAAGAATTTTCAAGGTGAAAAAGAGCTTTGGACATTTAATCTAACCTCCTTTTCCAGAGATGAGTAAGCAGACGAATTCAGAGATGTTAAATAATTGGCCAATGTTACATAACCAGTTAGTGGCCAAGTTTCGTGATCACAACCAAATTTTCCCACTCTTCAGACCAAAATTTGTCAATAGTGTTTCTTTGTTTTTAAAGTTTAGTGGTCACCTGTAACAGACCTAACACCTGTACTCTGAAAGTAAACCCATCTTTTGGTTAACAGGCATAGAAAGACTTCTGTTCCTTCTAGATCCCTGGAGTTCTAAATATTAATTTGCCAGTCATCAGATAGTCCTTTTTAAATTTCAGATTTCTGTATTTTTCCTCTATGAGTAATTAAATAACAATTAAAAATTCATATTAGACTACACATGAGTATATACTACAAGAATACACAATTATAGTGTTTAAGTTCTAGTAATATGAATATTGAATTTTGAGATCCTAATACTTGGTGGATCATACTCTACTCTCCAGTAAAAAAAAATCCAGGACATGAAATACAAGAGTTTACTTTTTCTATCAGATCAATTCTGCATATTTAACATATTGATCATATATAAAAATGGTGGTAAGGAGGCACCTGGGTGGCTCAGTGGGTTAAGCATCCAAGTCTTATTTTTGGCTCAGCTCATGATCTCACAGTTCACAAAATCAAGCCTTGCATTGGATTCTGTGCTGACGGTGTGGAGACCGCTTAGGATTCTCTCTCTTCCTCTCTCTCTGAGTCCCTCCCCCACCCTCAAAATAAATAAATAAACTTAAAAAAATGGTGGTAGAGATGGAACTCAACTTCCAGGTGGGATCACTCCAAAGATCATGCTCATATACTTTTTAAATACATAAATTTACTTTATGGCTTTTAAATATATATTTTTTAATGTTTATTTCATTATCGAGAGACAGAGAGAGACAGAGCATGAGCATGGGAGGGGTAGAGAGAGAGGGAGACACAGAATCTGAAGCAGGCTCCAGGCTCCAAGCCGTCAGCACAGAGCCCGACGTGGGGCCCAAACTCACAAACCACGAGATCATGCTCTGAGCCAAAGCTGGATGTTTAACCGACTGAGCCACCCAGGTATCCCAACCTTATGGCCTTTAAATATGGAAGTTAAAAAAAAAAACATTGTAAGTCATAGAGATAGATTCTTATAAAAAATTTTCTACATCATTCCATTACTTAAGCAGTATGTTAAGTTCTTGTGATAAAAGATATTTCAAGAAGAGATGATATAGTACACTATATATGTGTATACATTCAAAAGGAAATGAGTATTAGGGAGCTTATGACATGCTCCATTTAACATTGCAAACGAGTTGTTATTCAGCTACAGGCTATGTCCTTTCCAACAGGCAGGTCAAGGTCAACATCTCTCTATCATTTTTTATTCTTCTAAACAACTACTTTACCACAGCTCCATTCTGATGCTCAAAAACCCTTCATATGAAATGTAAGTTCTTTATTTCTAGCTCTTCCTGTTATCCCACCAGCCCCTTTGCCCCAAATCCTGTAAATTCTAGCTAAACTGTTTTGCCTACCCTGCTCCAAACCAACCACATACACCCCATCCTGTGCTTTTGTCATACACTTCTCACTGAATGAAAGCAAGCTTTCCATCCATCCCTAAAATCATCACTATACGCTTCCGCTTATTTTTCTTATCATCCATAACTAGCTGGTTACTAAGGCTTGTTATTTCTAAATACTAAATATTTCCCAAATCTACCTATATTTTCCTCTTTCCACTACTTGAGATTATTTCATGTTTCTTGGAGGTACTATGGGGTCATACCCCTTCACACTCCTGTTGTGCTGTTTCTTTTACACAGAATAGCATTTCTCTTTTCCTCCACTTGGCAATATCCACTTTACTGAGATTAAGTACAAATGTCATTCCTTTGTAAACCTTTCCAAGCAAAATTACCTCTCTCTCATGTATATATCATTCTATAAGCTACTAATAGTACCGATAACGCTGTGTTACAGATCCTGAGGGCTGGGGAGCCATCTTGTCCACCCTTTTCCTTGTAAAACCCCAAAACTAGCAATGTCCAACACACAGTATGTGTTCAGTTTATATTCATTTGAAAGAAAAATTCAGATTTCACTTGAATCCTACTGTCACACTTCAAATGATGTTTGAAAAGAAATTGAGATAAATGATGGAAATCTTATCTCTCTCTTTCCTTACCTTAAATTTTAAGGCAGGTGTTTGTGTCATGGATGACGCCTTCAATCCATGTAGCCGTTCTTCTATTTCTCTCAGTCTAGGAAGCAGTAGGAGATAATGTACTAATATTTATATTCACAATTTTATAAATATTAGATGCTCGCTAGTTCACTAAAGTATAAAGAAGAAAATGATGGCCCATTATCCAATCCCTCAAATTAATCCCTGTTGACAGTATTTGATAAATGCACCTGATACAGTCTATAAACATTTATAAAATGATTAGTAAAAGTAGCCCTACTCTTCATAATAGCTGTTGTTAACAGCTTTTTGAAAGGATCCTTTAGGGAAATGTGAGGCAAATACAAACATATATATGACCTTAAAAAAAAAAATCACACTAAATGTTTGCACCATATACACAGTTCTATGCTTCTTTTTTCTACACTTAATAGTGAATCTTGGAGGTCTTTTTCATTTCATTGCCTCCTGATCTACTTCAATCTTTGTAACAGCTGTATAATTGTCCTTCATACAGATCAACCACAGTTTATTAATCCTTCTCTGCTGATGAACATTTGGATTACTTCAAATTTTTCCATTATGTTTTGTATCTACTTACATTTAATAAATAATGGAACTAAGGTTCTGTTTTTTTTTAAAGGTGCAGCTCATTTTCTAAACCTGTTTATTATTATTATTTTTTTTTACTGGATTTTGTATCTAAAAGGCTGCTCTGAAGTGGTGCTGGGAAAACAGGGCAGTGACATGCAGAAAAATGAATCTGGACCCCTTTCTTACACCATACACAAAAATAAACTCAAAATGGATGAAAGACCTAAATGTAAGAGGAAGCCATCAAAATCCTTGAGGACAAAGCAGGCAAAAACCTCTTTGATCTTGGCTGCAGCAACTTCTTACTAAACATGTCAAGGGCATGGGAAGAGGCAAGGGAAACAAAAGCAAAAATGAACTACTGGGACCTC